CATGTCTCTTGCATTATACAGATTACTTCTGTTTTTAGGACTCAATTCACACCTAACTTGGGGCTTCTAGTTGCCCTTGGTTTCTTTTTTGATTAGTTTAATTATGGAAGCTGTATGGGGCAGTTCAATACTTTCTCACGCTTGTGTAATACTGCACCATATTTTGAGAAAATTGAAGTTACAACCACTCTCTGTGTTATCGAAAAATTAAGCCTCTTTTTCAACTCTTATTTAAAAAATTGTGTCCAGACCTTTAAACAAAATAGAAGTTCAGAAGACTGTTATTGACATAGTTTGGTGGGAAATTTCTGAATGGCTGTCCATGTCCTTCCTCAATGGAGCCAACTGGTTCATATTGTTAGAGCGTGCATTCTGCTTTTCTTAGTCATGATTCTCAATTTAGCCTTTCTCATTTAATTGCAGTATGCAGAATATTTTTTTCTGAAAGTTCTGAAGAGAACTGTGATTTTACATAGATCAGTAATGTGGGTCTCTTCTTCAGTGGTCTGAACAATAGTTTGCAGCTTGTGTAAACCCTAAAACTAGATGCAAATGATAGGTTTCTGGTATGCCTAAAACAATATGTCAGTGCAGCACATGCTTCCCAACATCAATGGACTTGCTCAACGATAAACATAGTAGATATATTAATTGTTGATGAAATCATCATAGACGAATATGTTATTCATTCATTTCATTGAGAATAAAAAGTTTGATGCATATATATTGTGATTTGTCACGGAACTTGAATCACACTTGTATTGATTTAGGAACTTGATTGACATGATTCTACTTCCTGTATTTCTCTTAATCTTTAGATTTTCAATTCATATGTTCATATGATTGTAATGTGTTCATATACTTTCTTGTAGCTCTTCTCACTTTCTCTGTCACAGATATTTTTCTTCATCTGCTCTTTCTTTGTGCCTTTTGGTGCGTCCCCACATTTGACAACTCTGTTTCACTCGTTTGTCATGGTTGTTGGAATCTGTACCTTCTGTGCAGTCTGATCATCACATGTTTTTTAATGTTATGTAACGTTCTGGACACATTTAGATTCTGATACGCAAATGATACAGGATTTTCTTAGGACCTCTTGACATATAGATCATTATATTTACTTCTATTGTTTTCTAAGAAGGACCTAAAGATCATTATTCTATCAAGTATTGCTCTTAATAGTGGGTACATCTTCATGCAGTCTATACTAGTGTTGTTCAGTTAAATAATATTTGTTTTTTTCCTTCCATTCTTCAGCTCTTCCATTGGTAAAGAGAAGTCAGGGGACGGCACAACTGGTATATCCAGGGCAGACTCTCTCTCTGAGAAAAGCTTTCCTTCTGGTTGGACCGTTCGACTTTTCTTTTAAGCATTAATAGTTGTTTTATGGTTGATTTTTTTTGCTTTGTCTAACATATATGCTTCCAGGTTCTTCACAAGTTGCCCGTATACATGAAGTTGGTATGGGGCCAATTTCGTATCCATGTATTGAACTCTCTATGGAAGAAAGTGATGGGTCGAGAAGTTCTAGTTATACTGCAGCCCCACAAGTGTGTAAAAACATGCCTGCTGGTCTGGAATCATCCCCAAATATCTTGTGCTCCGTTGAGGAAAGCTATGTGGTAAATAGTCCATCTCCTCCCAAAATTGAATCCTTCTCCACTGGAGGAACCAGTGCAAGGGAGGTTCAGTCCTCAAACAGTGTCATTACCAGTGAAGCTTCAAACTCAAGTTCCAATCGTTCCGACTTGAGTATGAACATAATTGACGAACAAACTGTCAATGAAGATATATGCGACCCTGTAGATTTTGGTCAATTTTTTCAAGAAGGCTACTGTAAGGCTTCAACTACCAATGAATTGCAGGAGGTAACTGAACTGGTTGCTGATATGGATAGCAGTAGTAGTCCTTGCAACAAAGAGAAAACTGATGATGATGGGGAAAGTGATGATATGCTGGGAGGTGTGTTTGACTTCTTCGAAGAAGGTGCGTGATTAAGTGGGTTTTGTCTTGTAGAGTTGCTTATTTTTTTGTCCCTCCATCCTTTTCCTTTTATTACGTAACATAGGCTTTTATGAATCCGTGGATTCCATGCAATGCCTTCTACTGTATAGGCCAAAAAAATTGTATAGCAGATTTAGTCTATTATAATAGAACAGATAGAACTTAGTATAAAGATGACCTTTTTTCAGTGGAACAGATTGACCTTAGGTAAGGAACTACGGTATTTTTCTTCTGTATGTAATGTAGTTACCTTTGGTTGTTGCAGGTTGATGCCCGACTCTGATTCCCGCGTCATACCAGCCTAATCTTATTTCGATGACATTTAGTATTGCTGGTAGTAGGATATTGGCCAATTCAGTGGAACATATCGTATATGCCATTGAATAGAGCTGAACATTTCAGAAGAAACCTACTGACTGATATGTGAAATATGACTTTAGTGTTTCCTTTTTGCCGGAGTGAAGATGCCTGGTTTCTTCTGTCTGATTCTCCTGTATATGGTGTATAGTAAAATTCATGGTGCAAATGATTGGTGTGGACATGACAGTCTATGCTGTGTAAAACTATTGTTCTTTTTTGAAAAAAAGAAAAAGAAAATAAAAAAAATCAAAATGAAAAGAAAATCATCATTTATTGTACAGTTTTTTTTTTTTGTTTCAAATACCGTTTTTGATTGGAACACTATACTTTGTCGTTCGATGTTTATTTGTTATCAGGGTTATTTTGGCAAAGTTGGCAGTTGTGTAAACATGATGCCGAATGATAGGGAAATTACTTGATGTCGAATGGCTTGTGAAGTTGCTTATTATTGACCCAAAAAGTATGTTGAAAATTCTCATTTTTCAATCTATGGCATTTGGTAGTTATGCAATACTACTGGTAATTGTATGACGAAGTATACTGCTACTTCTCCCTTTTAGGTGATGTTGTTCTATTGACCTGAATACTGCGTCTCACTGCTAAATTGTTCATGTACTCTGTTATATTTTTGTTGTTCGATTTGGCTACATTGTAAAGGGAGGAAGAAACATACATGGAACTATCTTCTTAATGGACTAGACGCGAGAGGCCTCAACAGGAACTATCATTACATGGAATAGAAATAAAAAATACGTCTTCCTTTAACAAACAAACAACATTAGTACTTGGTAGAGAAATTTCAATACCTTAAGCGTTTTACTTGTTTTATATTGAAGATGTTTGTCTTCATGTTTTCACGATGAGAGATGCAGTTTAAAGCACAAAATGATACCAGTAGTCTGTGATTTTTTTTATTAAGACTGGAAAGTGATCTTAATAGGAAAAGTAGTCTCAAACTAAGCAAGCTCTTGATTTCAAGAAACAGTGCTGGACCAAACCAGAACATGAGATTATCAACCCTCCGTTGATAATGAGAGTGCCATAAGTGCAACCACTACTGATTTCATAGTTGGACGCATCTCATGATCTTTCTCTGTACAAGTTTGAGCAAGCTGTACCATCTGTAATAGACAAGTGTTTAATGCTTCAGGGAAGCAAAGAAACAAAAAATGGGACATAATGCAGCAAAGAGTTGTAATTTGTACCTTGTGGACTGAATCAAAAGGGTAGTTATCCTCGAGTTTGGGGTCTATCAATCTAGAAATGGCTTCAATTGGATTTGGATGATTATGAGCTTCTCCAAACTATGATCACAGGACAATCACCATTAGCTCATCAACTGGTGCATATTTTTGTATGATAGCATGAAAAGAGTAAAATCCATGAGAAATATGCTGATGCAAAGTTACAAGGCTTCTTACTTCATCTATACCATCTTCCTTGACTACCACTTCCTTTGAAGAAATTAGTTCATAAAGTACAACGCCAAAAACATAGACATCTATTTTAGCGAGTCCGGAGCCTAAAAGGTATAAAAAATTAACAAAAATTTCAAAACGGTATATAAAATTTTATATTAACCAAAACGGCAAAATCACTGGAACAACAACGATTTACTCCACCAGAAAAAGCAAAATCGCTGCTACTGGAGCGATTTTCCAAAATGTGAAAAAAAAATTCAAATCGCTACCTAGGCAGCGGTAGGCATAGAGACCACCTATTGCCAGGTTGCTTATTAAATAAGCTCATTCAGCAGTAGCTATTTCCTATGTTTAAACACATTTTGTTCAATTTTTCAACCAAGCGAAAATCTCCTACCTGTAAGTAACTGATTTACCATCAGGAGAGCACTTAAATATATTTGTCAAAGAACAAAGACTAGGGGCCTTAATAAGACCTTTGCATGGAAGTTTTTGTCTATCAGGATATTTGCTGATTTAATATCACGATGGATATAGACAGGAACGGTGTGTTCATGTATATATTCATACCACTGGCAGAATCTAGTGCAATTTGCACCCCTCATTGACCATGACAGTGTGTCCCTACCTGGAGATAGATTTATCAAGTAACTAACAGATGCTTAAGCTTATAAACATCTCCAATGCAAATAAGAAGAAAAATACAAGGAATTAACTATTCCATCACATCTCTATAGCTCATACCACGTAGATGTTGGCTTAGATTACCATTGTCATTTAGCATCGCTCACATAGAATGGAAAAAATCCAAATTTTCTGGCCATTTAGCATTATCCAATGTAGTTTTAAGCAATTATTATTGGTTTTCGTTGTACAAAATATTGGGCAACTCGATAGTAAAAGCCACTTTATAAATTCGATTCGAAGTGAACGTTAATGGTCCAAGTTAATTGTTGACTGACGGGGTTAGTCACCACTAAACTAATGACATTCAACAATTTGAGATTTTACAAAAAGAAGAAAAATCCTCTATGTGGACTTACTATATATAGGATGACATTAAATTTATTTATTTTTAAGATTATTGTTGAAAAGTGAAAACCTATTAATCAATTTTTTACCCATACCTAACATTTACAGAGACTGTTTTTGCCATGACATATCACTGGTTGTTATTCTAACTCATACAAGCACTGCACATTACATTGGGTCATGTACCAAAATCAAGATTTAAGAATGCCTTATTCTTAGTATACAAACAGAAATACATTGAAATCATGAAGCTTCAATACAATACAGAACATACGTATTTTGCCATGACATATCTACGTACCTAATATTTACAACTGTTTTGGCGCGCTTCCTCTGACACTACTGATCCGTATAGCAAAAAAAAGATGAAGTTAAGCTCTTATATTTCAAGGAATTGCTATTACTTTGAGGAGGCCCTAACACCTTTAAATACTTAACATTATGCAACAAGATCTTGTTTTTGTGCCTTGTGATCTTAATTTCTATAGAGTGAAAGCAACATATCAAATAGTCAGGCATGTGACGATGAAAGTGCCATAAGAGCCACCACTACTGATTTCATAGTAGGTCTCATTTCAGGATTTTTCTCTGTACAAGATTTAGCAAGCTGTGCCATCTGCAATAGACAAACCATGTGTTGCTTCAATTGGAAGATGAGAAAGAAAAGCTAGTGCAGTAATTAAAGAGATGTAGTTGTACCTTGTAGACTGAATCGAGGGGGTAGTCATCGCAGAGTTTAGGGTCTATCAATCTGGAAATGGCTTCAATTTGATTTGGATGACTATGAGCTTCATCAAACTACAATTATCACGGAAACAATCACAATTAGCTCATCATCTGGTTCAAACTAAAAGTGTCAGATTTTAAATGCAGAGGAGTAAAGTTTATGTCAACGTCATCTCAATGCCAATGAGTAACATTTGAGTGAAGAAAAAGTTACCAAAGCAACAAGGCTTCTTGCTTCATCAACACCATCTTCCTTGACTATCGCATCCTTGGATGAAATCAACTCATAAAGGACAACACCAAAAGCGTAGACATCTACTTTACGAGAGATAACTCCTGAATGACCATACCTGCACATTTTGACATTCCTTACTATTTTTTACTTTATGACACATTAGATATGCTCTCTGTGTTATGCGCAGGAAATCTTTGAAGGGCCAAATGCTTGTTTATCTTGTATTTATAAGTGGTGATAATAACAAGTCGATAATACCATAGAAACATGAATCAGTGTTTGAAATGCTGAAGCTACACCTACATTTAGACACGCTTAATACAGTGAAGAAAAACTTACTCTGGTGGCATGTATCCAAATGTACCCATAAAACGTGTATTCAAAGTTGGATTTCCACTTTCAACAAGTTTTGATAAGCCAAAATCTCCAATCTGTGAGTGATTAACCAGTTAGGAGACTGCAGAAGTTGTTGAAATGCAAAGAATAGGGACTATAAAGATACCTTTGCATGAAAGTTCTTGTTTATCAGAATATTTGCTGATTTAACATCACGATGGATGTAAAAAGGGACGGTGTGCTCGTGTATATACTCAAGACCTCTGGCTGAATCCATTGCAATTTGCACCCGTGTTGACCATGTCAATACGTCTCTCCCTGGAAATAGATTTACCAAACAATTAATAGATCCGTAAGCATATAAACATCACAAATACAAATAAAAAGAAGATCATAAAGAATGAACTATTCCATCACAATTCTCGTACCATGAAGATGTTGGCTTAGATTACCGTTCTCAATGAATTCGTATACAAGGAACAGGGACCTCTCAACACAATACCCTATCAAGGAAACCTGCATGCATTCAGCATCACATGAATAAATTAAGCATAATACTACATATCAGTTCCGCACCAGATCAACAAAATGATATACATGCATTCTAATTCCAACTGCAAACATCCTTCACATTCTTAGGTATGCCTCTCTTCATGGAAATAGTTTCAAATTCAGTTCCCACTGTAAATTCTAAATAAACTCCTACCGGATCTGTTTATACCTTCATATGATAAACTAAACTTGCAGCTTTACGAGCTCAATGTACACAGAGTAGTAGTCCTATGACTAAAATGAAAGGGGTGAAAATCAGTAAAACAACAGACTTTGAGTGAGAGAAGCACTCTCTTTACATTTCCTTCTAACCAATCAACTATTCCAGGCATGGGAATGCTGAATGCTGATGAAGTCCTAAGAGATTTTGTAAAAACTTTCAAAATCTGGCATTCATACTTATTATACTCCTCAAAAGAAACAATAATAATTTATAAACAAAATGCATCAAATGATAGTAAGATATTGGTCATACCAGGTTCAGGTGATGAACACGCGTCAAAATTTTCAGTTCAGCGAGAAATTCTGTTCTTCCTTCCCTGTTCATTCGCTTAATTGCTGCTTTCTGTATCAGAGTTTTCAATGTAGAATTAGCAGAGACAATGCCACCCTTAATAATACAATGTTTTAACAACTTTTTCCGATTATTTTAGTTGAGACAACTCAGATATCTATACATCAAAATTGGTTTCTATGAGTTTTGACTAACAATTTTCCTATAAATCATATAGCTATTACAAGGAATTATAACTAGATTTTGTTTTTCCTGTTAAGTCCCTCATAATTCATTTTTTATAATCTAGGACTGATACAAAGTGCAAAAATTGTTTTCACCTTGCTGAATTTGTAATATATTTCAGCAAAAACATGAACTACAGACCTTTCCTCGCAGCTCAGCATAATAGACGGCCCCAAACCCACCTTCTCCAATCTTGTTCGAAATGCTAAAGTTATCAGTCGATTCAGCAAGTTCTTGATATGAAAACTCTACTGATTTGTCCACATGTATGCCTGAAAGGCCTGCTGAAGCACCATCAACAAGGTCAGTGCCTTGGGCCACATGCATTAGAATATGTTTGGAGTAATAAACTAGCGAGTTTTAGGGGTTTTTCACACGGATCAAACATATTGCAAGCACATTGAGAGTAATAAATCTAGCATAGGATACAGCCATGAAGTTGAAATTTGATAATGAATTAGAATAATTGGCTATCCTAAAGGACAGAAGATGAATTATCTTTTTTTGCTGTGAATCACGAAAATGCTTATTTGTTAAACCAATATACATTTCAACTGGAGGTTTCATTCAGAAGGAGATTTGAACTCGAAATTTGAGAAGAGCAAAGAAGTAGAGGAAGAAAAAAGAAGTGAGATTTACAATTACCAGGACTAGGTGGATAGCATTGACCAGAAGATACTGGGATATTTGCTGCAACCTTTTGTTCCTTTCTTCTATAAATTCCCACATAAATGATGCCTACCAATAACAAAACTCCAGCTAGTGAAGCTACTGCTAATGCAGCTATTGTTTTACCTGATGAACCTGATGAGACACTCATACAGAATAGAGTCAATATGCTTATGTTGTACAACACTTCCATCAACAACTTGATTTGAGAGCAATTACAAGCGATGACGGAGGAATCAACACAAAATAAAGAGAAGGAAAGGGTAGTCCACCTTTCCTGCAAACCAGGGGAAACATGAATGCCCAAATATGTTAAGAAAGATAAGGTGCTCAATGTATAACTACTTCAAAATCTGAAAATCTTTACCTGGTTGATATAGGTGGATAATTCCCCAGTTTATCTGCATAAAACAAATAAAAACTAAGATTTACAAATAGAAAATCCAACATAAAAACAGGATTTTACCATGCTTGTTTTCTTTAATTTGAACTCACCTCTGCCTGGAATGTACAACAACCCGCTGCCAGCACTGAAATTCACCATTGGATTGTACATTTCTATCAGCTTGGAGCTAGTATTAGTCACCAACGCGATATAACTCAAATTTTCCCCCGGCCTCATCGGATACGTGATAAACAATCCATAATCCTTTGACACATGTTTATTCCCACAGGAGCAATTCACAGTCACATTCAAGGTCACATGATCCGGTATATTGTTATCCGGATACCTATTATCCCTCATCAACAACTCCTTATTCGTCAAACTTGAATAGCGCCTTGTTGCAATGAGATCATAAGTCTCATTGGCACTAACATTATACGAAAATACATGGCCCAGAAACTCACCATTATTAAGGCAATCACAACGAAAGGGAACGTGAACTCTGGATTCGGTTAGGATAAACGTGCTTGTGATTTGAGTATTCCACTCAAGGATATCACTGTATGAGATGTTGTCAAATAGTTGGTTTATTAAAGGGAGATTCGATTCGGGCCAGATGAAGAAGGAAGCTAAAGCTAAATCACAGCCATTTGTGCAACTAGTGGAATAACATGTTGTGCAATTTGAGAAGAAGTAAATCAGGACTAGGATTGTTATTGATCTCCTTCTTAGGAATATCATTCTGTTGAAGATTGAAAGAAAAAGAAAAAAGGTTGTAGTTTTGCAACTGATTGCAGGTGAAGTACTTCATTATCTAGGTAGAACAACTGGACAAATTAATTCGTTCGTCTCATATTAGTTGATCACCGCCAATAAAAACAATTTAAGTGTCAATACGTTGACATTTGAATATTCTGTTTATGATGAAGTAAACAAAAACAGAAATAAACAGCTGCCACTATTAATCATTTGTCAGGGTCTTTATATTTCCTTAAAACTCTATAGTTTATCGGCGCCGTCATAATATGTTATTTTATGATAAAACATAGTCATGATTTAATACTCGAACGTAAATATTTAAAAGATTGGATTAATGAATTACACGAGTTTATCGACTCTTTGGTGTTAAAGACCGCCGTATTTAAGAATGATTTATTGTCGTGTTCACTGACCCTGTGAGAAGTAACACTCATGTCAAAGGTTGATTGCAAATATTTTAAGGTATAAAAACTCAACCAATATGTCAAATCAAAACATTATCTCAGACGTGAAAAAAATAAAGAGGAAGTTACCTCAGCAAACAATAAGAGAAAAAAATGAACTTCATTTTCCAGATACGACATATTGACATTTAAGGTTTAAGGATTCATTACCAATGATAACCAAATAGGTTGACCCGTATATCCATTTGATTTGTCGGAGTACATCTGCTAATTAATGATGCTCAAAGTTTAATTGTTAGAAAATCCCTTTAAATTCTACGAATAAGAGACTTAAATGTAACTCGTGGATAAATAAAATTAATACCCCTATGTCTTTAGATTTGACAATTAAGTAAAATAAAATTATTTTGCTCATATTAAATTAAATGGATCATAAATATTTTCTCTTCTTTTATTAAATAGAAATATATGGTCTTAAACTTATTTAAGCTCATAAAAATATAGATAAAATGAGCTAACATGAGGTGAAATGAAACAGTTTTCTTTTTTTTGGAAAATAAAAAAAATGTAGAAATCGATTGATGGAATGTGGGGGCAAAGGGGTAAATTTATTATTTTTTGAAAAAACATGTTTTTTTTTGGAAAAAAAAGAATTGGGGGGGGGGAGGTTGCCTAGGAGGGGGTAAATTTTTATTATTATTTTTTTAAAATAGAACTTTTGTTTTTGAAAAATAAAAAAAAATTAAGAAAATAAAAAAAAATTAAGAGTAGTTGGTGGAAGGTGAGGGATGAGGGGAAGGGGGTGAGGGGGGTGCCTGTGGGGAGGAGTAAATTTTAAAAAATTTATTTAAATGGATTAGAATCATTTTGTTCAATTCATATTTGATCAAATTTATTTAAATGGTTTATATTATAATATATTTGAAATATTTTTTAATGTATTTAATTTGTATTATTTTTTAAGAAATTAATATATAATTACGAACTAAAGAAAATAGATAATAATTTTATACTAAAATTAAGTGATTTTTAAAATATATCTCTCGAATTTTTTTAATTTGAAGTATAGTTAATAAGAAGAGAAAATGCAAAATAAATGAAATGTGCATATGATATTTTTGGGGGAAGGCACTGAATTAAATGCAATTAGACGTGTCGTTGGGAAGAGAAAATTAAATGACTTGTTGGGTGGCCAAATTAAATGCCAGCAAAGGTGACTACATTAAGAGATTATGACATACAATCCCAATTAGAATGAAAAAAATAAGAAAAGAATAAAATCTTTGGCTAAATCTTTATTTTCAGACTGGAGATTAAAATCTTTACTTGGTGTTTCGTTGTTTGAGATGTAATGTTTTGACTTTTCTATGCAATTAAATTATCACTAATAGAATTGGTGAAAAAAAAATGTTTTATTAATAATAATGGTAGAACTCTCTAGAATTTAGAAGTCAACAATGTATAATGAAGGAGAATTTAATGTGAAATCGTAGGAGTAGATGCCAGCGGCCTCTGTCAGCATTAAATACAATGATAAGCTTGTAATCAAACACATAAAATATAGAATACGTTTAATAATAATGATAATGGTAAAGCGTTCTTCCAATTTTATCTTTCATTTGTTAATATAGTTATTTTAATTGTAAACTTAATAATAATTAATAAAGAAAAAAATAAAAAAGTAAATTTAATAATTTATATTTTAATTTGTTTTTCTAAAAAATGTAAAACACTTTACAAATTAAATTAATATAAAATGAAAAAAGTATTAAATATTTAAAAATAACATAATGGATTAGTAAAAACGATTAGATGAGTATAAGAGAAAATTGGCAAAGCCCACACTCATACGGTTTTACAGGCGATTAATGGGCCGACATCTCTCATTCCATATCTCCGGCCCTAAACTACCTACACCACCTTCCCAACTTCACATAACTAAACAAAATAAGTATTAAAAATAGTGAAAAATGACAGAATTTTATATTTAAGTTATCATATTATTATTATCTCTTATTAGTTTTATAAATATCTAAAAAAAATTATTTTCACGCTTCAAATTAGCATTTTACACATAAGATTAGTGTATCATGGAAAAAAATGTATATTAGATTAGTGTATCATGTATAAATTGTAATGTATCTTAATTAACGATGAATGTATCTCACGCATTAGCATTAGATTAATGTATCAGGCGCTTATATTATTGTATCAGTTTGAGTAATTTCTATAATTATAAACTTATAAGAGACAAATGATAATTTTTCCTTAAAAATATGTGATTTATGTCCTTTGCCCTCAATATGAGTCATCAAATTCTGATAATTATGAAAAAATAGCACAAAAAGAACTAGTGGTGATATGTAGTTGAATTGGAATCAACGACATGATTAAGTTCAATTTTGCCTCAACGTAATCGAGATGAACTGCTTTTTAAGTATAGCGCTAACCTTCATGCCTTGAGCCAAAACGTGTGCTACCAATCGAACCTCTCTCTTTGGTATTTCTTGTGTTTTATTTTCTCCTTTTGTGCAAATAATAATCTTATACTTTGAAGGTTGGCCCAATAAAATATGAACTTAATATAGCGATCTTACCCTACTTATCTTTAACCCTTTTTAAAATAAATTTACTGTAAAATTAAAAAAACGATTTAAATTTTATCATAAACACACCTATTAATACGGTAAGAATTGGGGTTCTATCATTTGACATGACACATTACATGTCTCTCAGGTAGTCCAATTCTATCATTTCACTACAACAATTAAGGATAAAATTGAGGAGTTGTAGCCAACTCAACGGTAGGGGGTGGGGGCTAATGAATGCATGCTGAGGACAAGTCCAATCTCAATGCTGCTTAATTAGTACGACCGACATATGTCACATATAGCCCATATTTTTGGTCTCGCGTGCCAATTCAACAGTATCCCATCCACATTAAACAAGTGGCCGCTTCGTCTTGAAACTTTGACTTTACTTATTTTAGAGTTAAAATGTCAAGTTTAATCATATTTTACTCGTGAAGAAGTAAAAAGCATAAATATAACGACCTGTTTAGTCGTTTTGGGCAGCAGATTTTATTTCTGAAAAAATTGGCTGAGACGACGGACCGTCGAGGGGGTCTCGTTCCAAAACACTTAGATTTCTGAAATTTGGGTACTGAAATCGACTCTCTGAACTTCGTGACGGAATGGCAGGACGGACCGTCACAGATCCTTCAGTAAATTTCAGTCTCTGAACTCTGTGACGACCCAGCAGGACGGACCGTCGCAGGCTGGGTCGGATTTATTTAAATGTTTTAAGGGACGTTTTGGACTATTCCTGCTTATAATTATAAAGTTGGTGGTTGAATATTAATAATCCAATTTCTTGAGGGTTAAAGGAGATAACCTTAAATTAATTAGTGGGTTATTTTGTCATCTTCCATACTTAATTATATGTTAATTAGGGTAATAGAAAGAGGGTTTGAATAAGAAAAAGAAAAAGAACAGAGGGAGAGAGGGAGAAACGATCGGGCGAGAGAAAGAGAAGAACGCAGCTTTGGGAAATTGCTTGCTTGATCACGAATTCTTCGGTGGAGGTAGGTTATGGTTTTTATACTATTCGTAGTAAACTCTTAATAGTGAATGATATGTATTGGGTAGTGTTGTAAACCCTTCTATATGTTTAATTATGTGTTTGCATGTTGTGATTATATAATTGTGATAAAATAAGCATGATGAAGTTATTGAATCCTAAATCTTGAAAAAGAAACCCTAATCTACTTTGTTAATGATGATGTCTTGGTATAAAAGAAGACTTGATAAACGAAAGTAGTGAGATTAGGGGATCGGGTGCCACGTTCCGGTACCAGGATAATATATGAGGATCGGAGTGTCACGTTCCGACACCAGGATAGTATATGGATCGGGTGCCACGTTTTGGTACCAGGATAGTATGTGAGGATCGGAGTGCCACGTTTCGGCACCAGGATTAGCAAAGAGAATGAATCCTGAAATATGTTAATATACTCAATTTAATGAACCTAATTCCCAAATGAGTATGATGGGGAGGCGTGAGTCCTCATTGATGAGCTTGGTGTTGTGACCAAGGGTTATGGTAATTGTAAATGTCGCATGTTGAGTATTGTAGTTGATTTTATGATATTATCTGATATATACTGTTTTCTATTTTGAGTTGGCCGATGATATCTACTCAGTACCTGTGTTTTGTACTGAACCCTAATTGTAAGTTTTCTTTTTGATTATTTGTGGAGTGCAACAAACTTGCCGTCGTCTTCAACTCAACCGCAACTCTAGCTAGTCTTCGTCACACCAGATTTCAGGGTGAGCTAAAGCTTCTAGCTTGGACTGGATCTTCTTCTTCATGTCTTGATGCCTTGAAGTTCTGGCATAGACTAGCTATTATTTATGTTTAGTTTCTTAGATGCTCTTAGCTTTAGTAATTTGAGGATAGATGTTCTTGTGAAGATGACTTCCAGATTTTGGGGATAATAATAGTTGTTGAGTTTTTAGAAGTTATTTAATTGATTTCCATTAATGAGTTTAAGTCTTCCGCATTATTTTCTGTTATTATTGGTAAACGATTGGGGTTAGATTGGTTAGTTCGCTCACATAATAGGATAAGTGTGGATGCCAGTCGCGGCCCGATTTGGATCGTGACAAAAACCATTCACTTTTTTGGTTGAAATATTATTTGAAGAAAAGATAATTATAAATCGAGATCAATCAATAATTAGCTTGAGACTAATAAAGAAAACTATCTCTATTTACACGCACTACAATCTCATAATTGATCTTGGGCTGCTAAATGTAATTTCTACTTTTTGAGTGAATTTGTAAGAAATCCATATTTGTAATTGTGATTGGAATAAAGCTTTGGATACCTAGCTACATCATCCCAAAATGTGCAGTCTTGACAACGCTAGCTAGCTAGCATATTAGAGTAAGTATTGAGATCAAATTGGCAAGTGCCTCAACCAAGTGGTCCCTTGATTTAATATCCCACTAGAAATAAAATTTGTCACATTTTTCAACCGTAAGGGATCATTTTGGTGTCGAGAATAACACCTAAATAATAGTGCGATTAAATTATAATGTCATTTAATTTGTTACGTGATTGATAAGTACGAATCAACTTTTATATATATATATTTATATATGACATGTCTTCGAAGGAAAAAGGTCAAATCATACGTGATATGATGTTGTCCTGCTCCTGCATGTCTACTTAATTTGTGCTACCTCCAACTGACAATATTCAGCTCCATCTGATCTCTATCTGTGTCCTGATTTTCTAAGGTGAATTTAGTAGTTTTCGTAAAAAATAAATTGCTATTATCTACAGATGTTTGAGATCGAATATTCTCTTTCACTATGTACCATATATATTTTATTATGGTAGATGTGGATTTTCCTTGTTCACATTTTCAACGTTTAGATAATTTATACTCTCTTCGTTTTATTTTGTATTTTTATATGTCACATTTTACTTTGAATTTTTATTAAGAAATAATGTAACTTTACACTTCTGTTCTTATTTAATATTTTCTTAAGTCAATTGATTAATTAACTACCCTGTCATAGGTAAAATATAGTAATTTATGTTTAAATTTTATAAAATGACAAGTATTGTAATTCAACTATTTATAGAAATGGAAGACATATAAAATGAAATGAGGGACTACTAATAATTAAATTAGTGGTGATATGATGATAAATTAAATATGAGATTTGGCTATATATATATATATATATATATATCTCGTTGGCATAACAAATATTGTACATTGTTAGGTTTTCTTTATATTTGTAGCGGATCGTATAATTTATTTTCAAAGAGTATAAATGTCACATTCTAACTTGAAAGTATTTTATTACGTATCACTTGAACTCATTAAATATTACATACTTATAAGGTAAATTTTGAAAGACCTTCCTTCAAAGTTTAAATTTCATGACATTATTTTTCCTATAATTTGCAATATTATATTTTTCTTGGAGAGTAGTAATTAATCAAAACCAAGTTAGCTCATTAACATCCAAAGAACAAGTTAAAGAGAAATTTGATGGAAGAAAAAAAAGCAGTTTGCAGGAGGGGTGGGTGCGGATGAGAACAAAAAATTGTCTTCATGTAATATGCTATATAGCTTTCATAATGATCTGGACAAAATGCAAGTGCTCCCAATTATAGAGGTTTATTATTATTATTATTATTCACTAACAATATGGGCACAATTTAGATCCTTATAGGAAAACTATAACAATATACGCAGATTTTACATATATTTTAGAGGTCAGGTAAAAAGTTATTTTTAATAAATTATTAATTTAAAATAAAAATATACTTAAAAATAAGTAATAAAATACAAGAGATAGTACATAATATACAAAACAACATATAGTAACAAAATAGTATTATTAATAATAAAAAAAAAATACCAACATCAAGCTACATAAACAATATATATCAACAAAATTAAAGAATGAGAAACAATGAGCATGTCTATACTATTAGTGCAAATAATTTTGGACAATAAACTCATTTAAACGAACTTTCTTAAAATATGATATTTAAAACTATGTGATAATGATATGTAAAATTATCTTCCAACATGTGATAATTTAATCTTTTTGAATTTAGATTCAATATATTTATTAATGTTTAAGAGCTAGAAAGAATATTGTAGTGTCCCAAGCATGTGTAGGCGACACCTGTCCCCTTTTCCCCTTAATAATACTGAATAAAAATCAACATTTATGACACGAGTTTTTGTTTTTATTGTTCACAAATAAATGTGTACAAAGAAATATCCACGTCACAATAGCATAAAACCCAAAAACTAATGGAATAACAAAAATAATGATTCTCTTTCAACAAAATCCATGTCATTTCTCCATTTGAAAACTATGAAACACCAATTTTTTGGCTTATGAGTTATGGAAAATGTATATTAGTTTTTTAATTACTTCCTCTTCTCAAGGGAGAATTAACTTTTCAAATTTTAGTGAATGAAATATTTTGAGGAATTTTGAATTTTCTCATATAGTTTGCATATTTATAAAATGTAGTATTAGTTTAAACTGTCATATCCGCATGATTCGCAGGTACGTTTGTACAATTGAGTTAGTTCTTTATAAATTTTAAAAAATAAATTTATACAAACACGAACATCTAAGCTTTAAATATTTATATAAATTTATATTATATAATAGTGATACAAATTTCAAATTATACAAACTTAAAACACCAGCCCACGTAATTATCCCTCCTTTCTTGAGCCATGCATTCATGTTTTAGAAATTATAAATATGTCTTTTTTACTGTTGAGTTACTTTGTTTGTTTTGCTAGATCTTGCGATAAAAAATTGATCTAAGAATATGTGGGGAGGGTTACTATATTAGAAAGAGAGGTAATTATTTTAACTTCTTATTGTTGTGGAGGCAACAATCATATAGTTATATGGGACCAATTATAATCATCCCTTTCGAAGATAATTTTAATAACAATAAGTTAGTAAACAATGATCCAACCAACCAAATATCAACAACATAACAAAACAAAAAGACCAGAAACAGATTCCCTTTTAATCCTTATATAGTTGTTGATATATTATAATTTATTATTATTTAATTAAAAATAAGAAATAGTTTAATCATCATTTACTTTTCAATTTATCTTTATTATTTACCATTATCATTCCAAAAATACGAATGTACTACTCCCAATCTTTTATATTCCAAAAATAAATATTTGTCTTTTACTTATCCAGTTCAAAAAATCTAGTGATAATTAAATTTATTACTTTGTTTTTAATTTATTCTTATTATTAATTATAGGAAAATGCACAATTACCCCCTCAATCTGTGTTCGAAATTTCAGAGACACACTTATACTATACTAAGGTCTTATTCTCCCCCTGAACTTATTTTAGAAGTAATTTTCTACCCTTTTCGTCCTACGTGGCACTAACTTGAAAAAAAAGTCAACTAGCATTGGACCCACAAGATAGTGCCATGTAAGTCGAAAAGGGGTAGAAAAATATTAATAAAATAAGTTCAGGAGGGTAATAGGACGTTAGTATTATATAAGTGTGTCTCTGAGATTTCGGGTATAGGTCGAGGGGATACTTATGCATTATCCCTTAATTATACTATTTTCTTAATATATTGATCTTTTTCTACTCAAACATTAGTTAATACAATTGCCATTCTACTATTTGTTACTCCTCAGAGAATGTGCTGGATCAATATTGAATAAGTAAAATTGCGCCCAGGAAATATATCAAAGGTTAATATAGTTATATCACCACCTCTATTTAGTATTCTATCCGTCTGATATTGTTTGTCATGATTTTCATTTTTAGAGTGAAATTATAAAAACTTTAATTAATATTTTAAGATGTATTTTTTTATCATATTAACATGTAAAAAATTTGTAATTTATAGTATTTTTCATATAATGTCTATTTTTTTTTATCTAAAATATCGAATTAATGCAATCTAATTTAACGTGAAAATTAATCAAATTAACTTTTAAAAAGCGTAACATGATAAATAATATTGGACGGAGGGAATATTAATAATTAAAAAAGAACAAAAAAGAAAAGAGTAGGTAAGGGATATTTCATTTGGATTTAGATAAGATTGTTGTTTAACTTTTACCTAGCTAGAAACAAGTTGATCCCAAGATAAGATGGTTTCATTTGGCTTTCACTTTCACATGTCAAACACGACACATTTGTTGTCACAGTACGCTATTTCACGCTACTTTAAACTTTCAATATCATCACAATATAGTATATTATTTCAAATGACGCAGATTAGGATCATAAATCATAAATTTTTTATTTGAATGTAAATAAATTTAATATAATATATTTTTATTAATCAAATCAGTAAATTTCAAATATCGAAGAATTGATAGTAGTTGAGAATATGCAGAGAGAATCTACCAACTAAATCTTGGAGATATTGATGTAACATGGGTGGTCAGCTTCACCTCTCTGTCCCCAACCCCTTATACTGACCTGCCCATACTTGCAACCTTTCCATCTTAAAAACTAAACATATTCCAATTTGCAGTGCAACATTGGATTCTGCTACACTTTCATATGTAATAAATAAGTTTTCCTTTTATCATATTTCAATAATTTATTCATCCATAGTTTACTATGTACATGTTTTACAAATTGTTCAGATTCATCAAAAAAGATAGTTATAAATGGGATTCTGTCTATTTCACCATAATTTTGGATGGTACATATAAGACGTTCTCATTAGTCTCAAATCGAGCAATACTAAACATACACATAAATAAATACATAGAAGTTGTTCGATAGTTGTTCGATAGTTAATTAAAATTATAAAGAAATTAATAACAAACAGGATCAACCCTCTTAAAATTGAAATAGAAAAAAGAATAAAAAATCTGAAATTTGTATTTGATTGTAGATTTTCACTTAATAATATTAAATTATCTCACTATGTTTCACTTGACGTACTCTCGATTTTTTTTTTAATTTCAACTTCAAATAAGTTAAGCTGTGAAATACGAGATTGAATTAGTATAAAACAAAAAGGACTAAAGAAGAAACAAATAAATAGGGTATGGTAAAAAATATTTTGGATCTTGTGACAGCTTTTACTATATTTTTAATGAAATAGATAACTGCCAAAAAAACAACAATAAGGGGAGACATTTAGGATGCACAAGGAACAAAAGCACAATTGCAGAAAGTGAGGGGGTGAAAAAAAATTACTAAAATAAAGTGTGACAATATAAATACAGTGAATCAATGCGCAAAATTCATTGAATATTAGTCTTCTCTGTTATAGAAAAGAGTGCCCCTGCTGTAGCTTTTCCAAGGAAAAAAAAATTTACTCCATGCACAAATAAGGAGTATATATAACTTCTCAATTTTCATTAATAGCATAGCAAGCTGTTAATTTGTGAAAGTCACTCTTGAATTTAGCAAAATCATGGAACAAATCCAAAGAAAACTAGCTGAGTACACTGCTTCCTTGTACAATGAGGTAAAATAATCTTAACCTCTAAATTTGTAAATAAAACTTTTTATCATATGATTGAGTGAACTATAGGTTACGAGTTCGAACAGTAAAATAAATTGTTTTAACTACTTCCCTTTTCAAAAAACAATGTGCGAAATGTTCTGTGCATTGAATTTTTTGTTTTATTATGATTTGTTGATTTTTTTTTTTTAATTTTTTGGGTGTGAGAAGAAAATTCTGGATGAACAGTTTATACAACTTCAGCAACTGCAAGATGAGAGCAATCCTGATTTTGTGGTGGAAGTTGTATCCCTTTTCTTTGAAGATTCTGAAAGGCTTCTTAATGAACTTGCAAAAGCTCTGTGAGTAATTAATTTGTTTAATTTCCCCTTTTTACATACAAATCTGGAAGAGATGTAGGTGGAAAAACATATTTATGAACTTATTATCTCTGTTTTATTATGAACTGACAAGTTTTACGCTAGATGTAAGCTTTCGCATTTATTTGTATTTAAGATCGACAATATAAGCAAGCTCACATAATATTTCAATTTTTGTTTGTAAAAATAGCAATCAGTCTAATGTAGACTTCAAGAAACTGGATGCTCATGTTCATCAGCTGAAAGGTAGCAGCTCTAGGTAAATATTTTTTTTTGTATATTAAGATTTTCTTTTTTTTTTTTACTATTATTAAACCTATTTTAACTCACGGTATCTCTAATTATCTATTAGATAAAATTTGATAATATAATTTTTTTATATATTAACTAATTAGTTGAGGGTACATAATTTAAACTCTTATTTTTAATTTACAGCATTGGGGCACAAAGAGTTCAAAGAGTGTGCATTTCCTTCCGTAATTATTGTGATGAACGCAATGTTGAAGGGTAGGTTTTAAATTAATTTTTTTTTTTGGTGTTTTCGTTTCAATTTTTTATATAATCTAAAAGTAAAATCTGTTTATATCGCACTCTGCGGACTCAATTTATGAAATTGTATTAGATACGTTGTTACTGAAATTAATAAAGCTAAATAGTATCATTTGAATGCAGGTGCTTAAAATGTTTGCAACAAGTGAAAATTGAGTACACCCTTGTCAAGAACAAGCTTGAAACTTTATTTAAGGTGATTTTCATTTTTCATCTATATATGATTAATTAATTGTATAACAAGTGAGGAAGAGGTGTTTTGGACTCATTTTTGCAATTAATTGATTAATTTGTAGCTGGAGAAACAATTCGTGGATGCCGGAGGATCATTTCCAGTGGTGTGAATATTGATTGATGAGATATATGGAATTTAATTATGTTTAATTAATGGCAACTTTAATTAGAAGTTATTTGGATATGTTAATTTAGATTGTGTTCATGATATTGGCTTCAAATGTATAAGCAATGAAAGTGAAGATGAGAAGGACTTCATTAATGTAGTTTATGTGTAGCTATCATCTTTAATTTTGTTAGAATTATTGTAAATAAGTTAAATCTCTACTTAATAATGCTTGATTATATGCATGATCAATGTACATTTAATATCGAATTAAGATGTCACTAAAATTTTTGAATAGTTTCAAATGTTAGAGATGTCAAATTAAAATAGATGTATAATAATCTTTCGAATTATTCTATCAAGAAACAAACCGCATCTCTAAAAAAATAGTTAAACACAAAATATAAAATTGTGTGCACCATATCCTTAACCAAGTTCGAAGACAAATATAAGATATAGTATATGTCTTCAGTAATCTTATTTATTAAAGTCTAAAGAGAGATTATTTTATCTTCTTTAAATATTGTCTGTAAATCTGTAGTGCTAAGCATATAATTAAACAACTATCAACTTATAAATAAGTTTTTTAAGCTAAAATTACAGTTAAAATGTGAGAAATCAAGCTATAAATTAGATATATTCTCGATTTGATGCACCGTCCTTGCTCCTTGGCATTACTATAAAATTTAATTCTTCTACTTTACGATTATGAGTTATGTTGTCTTTTTCTTAGGACCACTTGTACTCATGGAAACACTACTTTCTTTTTCTTTATCTTTGAATTTTGCTACTCCAAATTATTTAAAAGTAAATAAATAAAGTTGATATTTATTTATTTATTTATTTGTGGGTTCATTGAACATATGTGGTTTCAAAATTGAAGGTCAACTAAGTTATGATTTGGCTATTGATGATTTCTTACTCTACTATTAGGTGTGTGTGCAAAGTACAGCCAAACAATATATTTTCTAATATTAATTGCATGTGATCCATTACCTATTATACTATTAGTATAATTTTCTGGGAGAACGATAACAACAACAATAATAACAAAACAATGATGACTTTGTTGGCCTTTTTTTTTATTTTGTATACATCTGAACATTGATGTTAGTGAAATTATCTTATTTATTTATTTTTTATACATATAAGTGTGAATATTGATGGAACCCTTTTGTCATTTTCGTCATACCTGCATGCATGTTGGTATAACATGTGATATATGAGTATATTAATATGTATTATGAAAATTCATTATAAATTGATTTATTTTTCATTGATTATATATACACAATTTTCTCCTTTATTCATGCGTTTTGAATTGGGCCTAGATCTAGTTAGGACCATGTAGTGGAGGATACTTGGGCCACATCTTCACAGCCCAAATACTCCACATTCCAGAAAAAGGGTAAAAATACGATACGTGTCTATAATTGAAAAATAGTCACGATTTTGTAAAGTCATTCCCCACTTGTTCTATTGCGCGCTTTTAAAGAACTTATGTCTCGATTGCTAAGGGCAAGAATTAAACATCAACCAATTTGAAGGGCAAATTGTACAATTCAATCAAATGAACTTGATACTATATGTTATATATATTATTGTTCATGATTCATGAAGTAGCAAATATTGTTCTTTTTTTATTTTTATAGTAATATTATTCTGTTTTTCAATTTCTAATTTCAAACATTTTTCTATAGTCAGAATATTATTTATTCCCTTTATTTTAACGCAAAAGCACTCGAATTCCCTTATCCATGATTAGACACCTTTTCTCTTCCATATGACAATGACTTCCACTCTTACAAACTGTAATTTTCATTCATTTACATTTACCTCATGAAATGACACCCACAAAAATAGACAAAACAAATATGAGTATTATGTGTTATGACATTGTTTGACTAGACACAAATACGAGTTTTGATGCATGATTTTTCTTAATCACCTCTCTAGCTTCACTAAGATAAGAGTAAGATTCGCGTACAGATTCACGTTTTTTTTTTTCTTAAAGAAATAGTGAGCTCACCCACTTTGGTCTCTAAGAAAATAAAAGAAAAAACAAAAGTTCACCTGATTGATTTTGTTGGTTTTGAAAAATGGTCCCCTTCAATACATCCAAATAGCAATCACCGCCAACTGGACTCTTTCTCCTAACAAGTCAATATCTGTATCCATATTTCCAAAATCTATGTCTGTGACCAGTCAATTCGTTTTTGTTTTTTTTTTGTTAAATCCCTCTTAAGCATTTTTTAAACATGACATATTTGCAAAATCTTTTTGTTTTACTCAAATTATATAAAAGAAAACGCCACTATCTTGAGCCATATATAATTTATTTAAATTTAAACTAAATAGAAAGGGGAAGGGAGCAAAGAAGCAGTTTTGCCAGTGAGTTCTTCACTAGTTTGACACTATAGGACTAGATTCATAAAGGTCACCAAAAGACAGACAGCTTATTTTGTCTCTATTCTCAAATCACCACTGCTTCTACACATGTATTTAAGCTTCTTTTTTTTCTTTTTCTTTTTTCTGTTGAGGACATATCAGCTTACACAAACCTCGACTTGAACCTGTCCAACGATATTTTGAAATAATGGTTTAATTTGATAGACAAACACTTCTTTGAGATCTTTTTGGTTGAGGCAAAATCTGTGGCCAAACATATAGTTTAGTATGATTTTCACTCATTTAATTGATGAATAGGTTCCACCTTCGCGCTACTTACATTCAAATACTATAATTTTTTCAGAACTACACTCCACTAATCATAATAAGTAACACTTTCCAGTTGACCAACAAAAAAGTCACCTCATGTATTAGACAGTGCCAACATTGCAATATAGAAAGACCTCATAGCACATCAGTTCATGTGCAAGAGAACAACAATTCCACTTATAACAATTGAAGCATGTTGAATTACATATGTTCATATTGTGCATCCCTGAGAAAAGAAACAGTACTTGCAAACATATCTTCTAAATATAAGTGATCTAAGGATGTACATATTGAAGGTCAAGGAAGTGACAAAGAACATAAAAAAGAAAACAAACCAAAGGGCGACACACCATGATAACGCGAGGAAGCAAACATAGTTCTATATAATTATAGATATATTATACAACTTCACAATTTAGGATGTTCATCCGTGAAGCATAATAGTATGATCAGCTATATAACATTAGCAAGGCACTGGTCCCCTGACGGATCAGCACCAGACTTACCCCCTCTACTACGGAGGCTAACATGGGAAAGGTTAGCTGTAAATCAGCATATCTGCTAGACGAAGACAAGATGATTATAACCTTTGGCGCAAGCTACCAAAATATACAACCAATATCCAGACACTCCCTGTACCTGGAATAAATATAACACAGATCCAGCTACATGATTGAGGTTTTCCGCCACCAATAACCAACCCAGCCAATGGAGCAGAATCCAAGCAATAGCATGATCAATAAGGAAGTAATTGATGATGCTATACAATCTTTCAAACGGTTGACAGGCTAGGAACTAACTTCAACAAAACATCAAACGTCTTCAAAGCATATCCTACTTTTGACAAGGTTAAATCTACTGAGAGTCAGAACTCACGAAGCTACTTATCTCATCCATGACAGTGTAGAAGTGTTCATTATTTGGCAACAGGTAGAACCCTATTGTTGCCTTCTCCAAATATATCAGGTTAACCTCTTGTCCAGCCTTCTTAAGCCCATCAGCATAAGCCAACTGCCAATCCTGAACAAGGTCCAAACCTGCGACAACAACAAGATTCTTTGGGAACTTGACGCCTTTGAGGTTTATACCATTTGGACCAAAAGGGTTGCATGCAGGATGGTCCCTGTCTGAATCTTCAGGAAGATAAGCTCTCCAATACCAGTCTCGGTCTTGAAGTGTGACAAAATATTTGCCATCCAATCGCTTCTCTGATTCTGTTCTCTCTTGTCCACCAAACATAGGGTTCAGCAGTATATTTCCCAACACTTCTATGTTGGATTCTACTGCCCTGAAAGCCACATTATGAACAATATTACCACCAGAGCTATCTCCAGCTAAGTATATGTGAGCCTTCGAGTCCTTTTTGCTCCGCAGCCATTCCCTTGAGTTAACCCACTCAAGAACTGTCCATCCATCATTATAAGCACAAGGATAACGGTTTTCAGGAGCTCGCCTGTAATTAACTGACACAACAACTGCCTTGCAAATGCCAACAAGGCGGCGACAAAGTGTGTCATAGATGGCACTATTGAAAGAAGAGTGTGCAAAACTTCCACCATGGAAGAAAATTATGACAGGTACAACATCAGCAGTCACAGGCTTTTCAAGTTCAGCCATATTCGGTGAAGCTCCATCCTCAAAAGAAGGCCGATAGACACGGCTAAGTAGGCCTATTTCACGATCAATGAGAACATCAAAAGAGAAAACTCCATCAACTGGATTTGCATTCGCTGGAACCTTGCGGTCAAGGAACTCTGCCAAGTGACGATTGAAAGTCCCATCAGGGCGACGGAGAAGATTGTAAGACAACTTGAAGTTTGAAATTAGGATCCATGTATTGAGCGGAACCACTCTCTATAAGAAAACAGAGGTAAAATTTCAGAAATTGTACAATTTGAAGTGATAAAAGCCATGATATATGCATAACGATAACCTTAATTTACATAATTACATCTAACACACACAGCAGAACTACTGTAAATAACACTAGAACGTGCTGCTATCAGCCAAACTATTATACATATGCCATGAAACACAAGACAGTGCAGCATACTAAAAGAAGAATAGCTAAACATAATTCAGACCCATCATACAAAAGGGCAAGTTTTCAAATTTTAGGGGAACAATTAGAGCAACTCCAGACCCACACCACCAAGGTATACATATCCAAAATCTACACAAATAGGCACTCATTTTTCCTGTAAAAACAAGTAAAATTTGTGGGGTACAGGGCACTGATAGACCAAAAATAGAAGCAAAAAAAAACATCCTTTCAAAAGTACCAAATTTCAAAATTCAGAGTAAAACACAACCCTACCCCTCAAAATCTGCATGACAAAATCACTCCAAACCATAGCTATACTGTAAAACCCAAAATCTTGAAGCCAACCCATAAATCAACAGAAATCAAATTGATGATCAGAGAAAGAAAACAGGAAAAAAGCGGAGTACCTTAGATTCACTCTTGGATTCATTCGCAACAGCTTCATTATTTCTTGCCATAGACAGCCGCTTCTCCTTTTTCTTGATTTGGTGAAAAGCAAAAAAAAAAA